TATTTGCATAGCCTGATTCACAGGGACCAAGTTGGTTTCCTCCCTGGGAGACAGGTGGGTGATAACGTTCGTAAGGTGGTCCATCTTATACATTTTCTACAACAGCGGAAAATACCGGAATTCTAACTGTCCTTAGACATACATAAAGCCTTTGATTCTCTATCCTGGGACTATCTGCGGTTTGAGCTGTCTCGCTGGGGTTTTGGGGACTCTATTCTTTCTTGGATTCAAGCCTTGTATTCTTCCCCTTCAGTTTTCGTTAAATACGCTGGGTATTTCTCAGATTCCTTTCCTATTTGGCGAGGTATGAGACAGGGATGCCCCCTGTCCCCAGCACTCTTTGTCCTGGCGCTTGAGCCATTGGCTATGGCGCTCTGGACTGATTATAATGTATCGGAGGTTCCATACGCGGGACAGGAGTTCAAGTTGAACCTTTTTGCAGACGATGCCCTCTTGACTCTCACTAACCCCTTGACTACGCTTCCAAATTTGCAACAGGTTCTTGAGAGCTTCTCCTTGATTTCGGGTCTCTGTATCAATTTGGATAAGACTGTCGCGCTTAATATTACTTTGGCCTCAGATATGGTTTCGCGCCTACAGTCCCACTTCCCTTATAAATGGGCTTCTTCTTCTCTTGAATACCTAGGCATCCGCTTAACCTTCGCTCTGTATCCTCTCTTATGCATTCTTGGCAATTTCCACACCTGTTATGGATAGGACGGATTAATTCGGTAAAAATGACCATCTTGCCGAAATTGTTATACTATTTTCGCACCCTCCCAGTGCGGGTTCCTCATTTCCTTCGGTTGCTTCAGGTAAAGATTATGCATTTTATCTGGGCCGATAAACGCCCCAGAGTTTCCAGAACTACGCTTTTTGTCCATAGACTCCAGGGTGGCCTTGAGGTTCCCAATGTTACTAAATATCAGGCGAGCCAGATCGCCCCGCTATCAATGTTGCATGCTTCCTCAGACATACCTCTCTGGGTCCTCCTGGAATTACCTAATTGTGCCCCTATTGCGATATCGATACTTCTACGGCTTCCCCCTGCCCTGCGCCCCACGGCACTGAGTCCGATTTTGCTCCATGTCTTACAAGTGTGGGACTCAGTACATTACTCCAGTGGCCTGATGTCACCTTTTTTGCCTTTGCTCCCAATCACTAACAACCCCCTCTTCCCACCAGATTTAGATCAACCAAGGGCGTTTTCTTGGTGGGTGATCAATGGTTTTTCACAGGTACGACACTTTTTGATCTCTCGGTCCTTCCCTACCTGGAATTCTCTTCGGGAGTCATGGGATGTCCCTCCGGCAGAATTTTTTCATTACCTTCAATTGCGGCATTGGCTGCTCTCATTGCGAGGCACTTCTGTCTTCCCGTTCCAGCGCCTGGTCACTCATAGCTAAATGCTCATTTAATACGACCACGCTGGAGGCGATTTACAAGGTATTGTTTCGTTGGTATTGGGTTCCGGCTCGTTTGGCACAGGCAAATCCTGCCAGCAGTGATCGATGCTTTCGGGGTTGTGGCCATCGTGGTGATGTATTGCATATCTGGTGGTCATGCCCGAGGCTGCTTCGTTTTTAGTCTTGTGTGTTTGGCCTCCTTTTCACCTTGTTCCATCTCTCTATACGACGGGATGCTCGGTATGCTTTGCTTCATTGTCCCATACCGGGCCTCTTGGCTCATCAGCAGAAGTTGGCTTCCTATTTGTTTTTGTCGGCCTCTAGAACAATTGCTCAGGCCTGGAAGAGCCCGTTTGTTCAGGGGGTGCGGGACCGTATGACCACTATGATGCTCAATAAACAGATGTCGAGTATCTGCAACGACTCCCAATGTAAATTCTTGAAAATATGGGAGCCATGGTTGCAATATACCTTTCCCACGTTCCCCCCCCCCCCCCCCCCCCGCTAGAAAGAGGGGATGGCTACTCTTAAGAGCTGTAATTCCTAAACTCTTCCTCCAATTTGGATGTACATACCCTCAAATTAAACCTGAGAGTGCGCACTTTCAGCCCATTATAGAACTATAGCTTAAATATGTTTTGGTCAATACCTGAAAAAAACTGAAATTGTGCCTGTGTCCAAATATATATGGACCTAACTGTATCTAGAGTCTAATAGACCCCAGATTTCTCAAAAAAAGAATACCTTTCATGCCTATTGCAGTAAGAGGGGCTATTTACATTCCCTGTGATAGCAATAAAAGTGATTTAAAGTAAAAAAAAAAGTGAAAGGGACAGTATAAAAGTAAAAAAAATCAAGCGTTGACCCCGTGACGGTATTTAAACAGTGGTTGCATAATGCATGTGAGGTATCACTGTGAATGTCAGATCAAGGGCAGTAACTCATGCACTAGGCCTCCTGTGTAAATATAAATTGGTGACCTGTAAAAGCTTTTAAAGCGTCGATTATCAATAATAAAAATGTATGTACTTTGTTGCCATTGCACCAGCATGTACAATTTTAAAGCATGTCATGTTTGGTATCTATTTACTCAGTGTAACATCTTTTTTATTTTATCAAAAAGAGAGTCCTGCTGCTTGCCTGCAGCGGACAAAGTAAGGAAAAAAAAAAAAAAAAATCAGTGACCAATATAGCCACGCTTCTCTAAAATAACAGCCATAAGTCTTCCATTTATGGAGTCTGTAAGTTTCTTGATCTGTTTGCTATCTTTTCATGCAGCAGCAATCACAGCCTACCAGACACTGTCAGAGAGGTGTATTCTTTTCTTTCACTGTAAATCTCCATTTAAAAAGGGCCCACAAGTTCTCAATAGGGTTTAGATCAGGTAAGGAAGGGGACCATGTCATTCTTTCATTTTTAAAGTGTTACTAAACCCACAACAGTGAAAATAGGTCTGTACATACAGTAAAGCATGCTTGTTATACTCACTATAAGGAGTTAATCCTCTGCATTGTGTAAAAAGACTGTTTGATCCGGTCTTCTCTGATCCTCCCCTTCTTCAACTTTCCCCTATCTGCTGACAGAACAGAGCTCTAGGAGTTTACTCTGCACATGCTCAGTTTGGTGTGTATTGCTAGAGGTTTTTTTTTTCTTTTGGAGGGTGCATGTATTCAGCTCAGGGCCAATTAACACTGTCCGGACAGAGTCAGGGGTTTACAGCCTCATAGGACAGTCAGAGGAGAATGAAAACTCCTCCAACAAGCTTTAATCAGTGCTCTGCTGGACATTGATAGAAATCACAAGACTGCTATATACGGCTGATGAGAAAAGCCATTTTGCATTTATATTTACTAAAATAATTGCATTTCCATGTCCTGTGTACTGTGGGAGACTAGATAGAGTAAATGCAAGGTCATGGGTTTAGTAACACTTTAGGACCTTTACTGGCTAGCCACGCAGTGCAGTACTTCGACGCATGCGATGGAGCATTGTCCTGCATAAATATCATGGTCTTCTTGAAAGATGCAGACTGTTTCCTGTACCACTGCTTGAAGAAAGTAACTTCTACAGACTGGCAGTAGACGTGAGAGTTGATTTTGAGTCCATCTTCAACCAGAAAAGGTCCAACTAGCTCATCTTTAATAATACCAGCCCATACCAATACCCCACATCCACCTTGCTGGCGTCTAAGTAGAAGTGGCGCTCTTGCCAGTTACTGATCCAGCCACAGGCCCATACATCCGGTCAATCACGAGTCGCTCTCATCAGTCCATAAAACTTTTGAAAAATCTGTCTTCAGATATTTCTTGGCCCAGTCTTCACATTTCAACTTCTGTGTCTTGTTCGGTGCTTGGGTTTCAGCCTTCCTTACCTTGGCCATGTCTCTGAGCACTGAACACCTTGTACTTCTGGGTACTCCATCCAGGTAGGTTTCAGTTCTGGAATATGACAGCACTGGAGGATAATGGGTTCCTGGCAGCTTCATGTTTTATTCTTCCCAAATCTTTGGCAGTTAATTTGCATCTTTTACTAAACAAGTTTTTTGTGACCCTGTTGACTAGTTGCAACAAAACGTTAAATGGTTCTGTAATCACACCTCAATATCTTAGCAATTTAAAGAGTGCTGCATCCATCCCTTTGAAAGACTTTTTACACTTTTTGACTCTTTAGAATCAGTTAAATCTCTTTTTTTGGCCAATTCGCTAGAGGAAAAGAAGCTGCCTAAAAATTATGCACACCTTGATATAGCATGTTGATCTCCTTAGGCCACACCCTCCCTCATTACACACATCACCTGATATACTTAAATCCAATAAGCATTCAAGTTTATAGAGCTTGGAGTTGGACAATATATATATAAAAATGATGATTTGGTCAAAATACTCACTTGCCTAATAACTGTGCACACAGTGTACACTGCAATGCCCTTTTAATTTTGATTATAAATGTAATAAATTTACCCAAGACTGAGAATAATAAAAAACACATTTTGATGCAGTGCTGCATGTTTTGTAAGGTTACCACAGCCTGGAAGAGGCTATGAATGTATATGTATGAAGCATTCACTTTCTCCCATGCTCCATTTAATCAACTCAACTTACAATATGGTAATAACTTTTCTTATAAAAACACAACTTCATGTTCTAGCATTTCCCTTTTAGAAACATACAGGCATTATGGAGCAGGTAGGGAAAAAAAAGTAACTTTCTGATTAGAAAGGTCGCGTATTTTGGGACCAAATAAATGGGTTTCTTTTTATGAGGCCCTTGTAATTCTTTATTCATTATACTGCTGGTAAAATGTCTTTCCTTCATAGGCTAGTCCCTGAATTTCTTTCTCCCCTTTAAATCTTAACAACGCAGCCATAAAATAAATAATCAGTGGTTATAGTGGCAGCGGGTTCTTTAAAGTCAGTTTCAAGGTCAGAGGTCATCATAACAGGAAACTCCTGAAAGCTACGTGAAATTAATAGTGTGCCTCGACACAGGTTAATAGGGCTTTCCGGAGGGGGCTGTGGGTTTCACAGCTGACACATGGCATCAGACTGGGCAGTAAAACACCCACTCAGTACCCGTGCCTCTCAGGACAGCTTACCTAAAGAATGTGCAGCTGTGGTTTTGGAGCTGAAGAAGCGGCCCAAGCCTAAATCCCCCAGCTTCACCACGCCTGTGGCTGTTATAAACACATTGGCTGGTTTAATATCTAGAGAGGGAAAATGTACATTTAAAAATTAAATATTGAAACAATAAAATCAGGAAGTCTTCATATATTAAAACATGCATGCAATAATAAAAATACCACTTACTGTCCAGAGAAGCAACTTTAAAGAGAAACAACTTTAAAGAAACAAATGTACAGTTTTGTTCAAAACTAAATTTATATCTTGAATTGTATTAGGCACTGCTGGACAAAATTAACAAAAACAGCTTTTGAGTCGCCTATGCTGGATTTCCAAAATGCTGTTAGATATTTTTTTCCTATTTCAAATCCCAAACATTTTATCATCACTAATCAGAATAATATGTATTTGAAAAATATGCAGAACATCTTAAGCAGATTCACATTCAAGTGGGTTAGAAAATTGCCCTGTATTTAGTGCCATCCAACTTTCTTTCAATCCTGACCAGTTTTCCATTCCCTGCCGATGAAAAGCATCTCCCACAGCATGATGATGCAACCATCATTGTGGGGATGGTGTTCGCAGGGTGAAGGGAAGTGTTGAGTTTGCGCAACACATAACATTTCCCATAATGGTCAAAAAGTAACATTGTTTACTTGCCTGTAAATTCCTCATCTTGGAGTACAGTACAAGACTTTTGTTCATAGACCACAGGTTATATGCAGGCTACCTTCAGGTTGAACACTTGCAAAAAATTTGCTAGGGACGCCCCTAGTGCACACTCTCAACACCACCCACTCCAGGAGATTTGTACATATATAGTAAATGTACAGAAGTCAATCTACAGATTATAATATTTTCATGAGGGCATCAACCAAATACCAAAAATGGAAATATGTAAATGGATTTTTAATATACACCCCAGGATTTATTAATTAACCATAACAGAAAATTAGTAGATAAAACAAGCACCCTTAGTTTATACACATCAAAATGATCCAACAAATATGGAATAGAATAATTTTCTTTTGATTCCAGCAAATACATTTTTGAAAGCTTAACCATTTGCAGACTGACCACTCGCAGTGTACTGTGGGCGATCGGAGGAAGTAGGCAAAGCAATGTACTGGTACGTCACCACCTACTTCCGGGTTTAGGGTGCGTGCGCGCAGGCTCCCCCTGCCCGGCACTCACTGACTGCACAAAGCGGGAGCCTCTCAGCAAGTCCCACCCAATGATTCATGGCCGGGACCTGCCAATAACAGCCCAGAGCTCTTGTGTTAGTAAACATACAGCTCTGAACCAAGGGAGCGAACTGCTTTGCAAGCATGAGAAACTGAGAGATCAGCTAGTAAAAGCAGCATACTGTACACACATTCCACATAGTCATGCACATATTTAACCTCTTGTTTGCCCTAGATGTTAACCCCTTTCCAGCCAGTGTCATTAGTACAGTGACAGTGTACACTATTCTCACTGATCACTGTATTGGTGCCACTGGTGATGTCAGATTGTCAACCACAGTATTGCAGTCCTGTTATAAGTCGCAGATTGCCACCATTAGTAGTAAAAAAAAAATAAAAAATTTAAATTCCAGTATATATACCATAGTTTAAAAGAACTATACATTTTCATGCAAACCAATCTATATATATATATATATATATATATATATATATATATATATATATATATATATATATATATATATATATATATATATATATATATTGGGAGTTTTTTTCCATCAAGAACATGTAGCAGAATACATTTTTGGCAAAAAGAAATTTTATTCGCTATGTTATATAGCAGAGAGTAAAAAATACTGTTTTTTTCCCCCAAACTTTTCGGTCTATTTTCATTTATATCGCAAAAAATTCAAAAAAAAAAACCCAGTGGTGATCAAATACCACCAAAAGAAAGCTCTTTTTGTGTGAAAAAATATATATATAAATTTTTGTTTGGGTACAGCATTGCATGACCACCCAATCACCAGTGCCAAATAGCAAAAAAATGGTCTGGTCATGAAGCCGGTAAAATTTACTGGAGCACAAGTGGTTTAAAACATCCCAATACAGCATTTTGCATTCAGTCTACGCATTTTTTGCGTTTTTTTCTGAAGATGTGCTGTCACATGAGTCCTAATAATAAACCAAGATTCATCTACAAAAGAAAATGGACAATGAGATTATAGAAATGTCTAAAGCATAAGGAAAAATACAATTCAAAACAACTGTCCACCACATCATGACTAAGAAAAAAAAAAAAAATCAAATAAACCTTCATGCCACAATACCCTTACCTGAAAACACAGCCGAAAAAAATTTGAATCATATTGGTCACATTCTCCTCCTGGGGTGTGTGTGTTAGGATAGAGATATAAACAAAACTAATATGCATAAACAAATGTACAAGTATCCCAATATTATTTCTCCCGATTAAAAAAGGAAATAAACATACTTGTAATCTTAAATAAAGATTTCAAAAAATGTGCATCAGGTACCCAAAAGGAATGTGACCGACAGTACAAAACAAAAATCTCCTGTGCACAAGTCTTGGTTCAGTGTATAAGCAAGTAATCACACATGGTCTTGCTGTCCTCAAGGACTGGGGATGTTCCGTAATCACTATAAGGCTCCATGTACACGGGACACTGCTGAATGATGGAAACTGACTGCTGGAAAATGTAGGTTAAAAAAAAGTCTGTTTAGCCGCGTCTGCATACCGCATTTACATTTAGAAGCGTATTTTTAAAGAGAACCTCAAGAGATCTTCCAAAATGCCCAGAATGCACTGACAAACAGTAAAAATTAACTATTTCAGACATTTTGATAGAAATAGAGAGAGCAGAAGCAGAGAGAGCAGTATTTTTTGAGATTAGCGTTCCAGCTCATTTTCGTGCAGAAATGATTGCAGCAGTGCAACATTTTCTTTTATGCGAAACCTCAAAGTATAGTGTATCAGGTCCATTTGAGTACTGGGAAAATGCTTTGCATGCATTTTTCATGATAAAAAAAGGCTCTGGACAGCATCTGGAAATGGAAGAGTTAAAAAAATGTTCCAAATGCAAACGCTTATAAACTCGCGTTTAGCCACGTTTACAAATGATTGGAGTTTGAAACGCTGATAAAATCTACTCCTGAATGCAAGTTTGGTGCGTTAAAAAAAAAAAAATGACAGTGTACATGGACACATAGGAAAACATTAGAGAGAGTTCAGGGGCTGCTGGAAAAAAAAAAACGCAGAAAAGCTTCTAATCGTGAGTTTATCAGCTGCAGTGTACATGGAGCCTTACAAGAAAAAGAAGAAAGAAGCCGCACCAACCTAGTGCATTATCTTACGGATTTTTAATGTTTGAAAAAAAAAAAAAAAAAAAAAGATGAAGTTACTACTCACAAAGGGAATGTTTAACCCCTTGACGCCGACTTCACACAAATATGCAGCCTCACGGAACTGGGCTTTTTTTCGTGGGGCTGCATAGTTGTGTACCTGTCTTTGTGCTGGGAGCATGCCGCACTGCCGCGTGTCACCGATGGCCCCGGGTCCCTTTCTAATGATCGGGACCCGGGACTCCCAATTCCAGGTCACATGATCGCTGTGAAAGCCTCTGTTTGGCTATCACAGTGATCAGTCACTGTGCAGCCCGGCCCCCTTGTTTTTTTTCTCTCTCATAGAGCGAAAAAAAAAAAGATAAATATTAAAAAAATAAAAGAAAAAATACCTAGATCAAGGTTTGATCTAGTTCAGTGCCAGGGTTATTGTTTGGGTTAAGGTCAGGGTCAAAGGTCAGGATTTAAAGACAAAAAAAAAATTTGGTGTCAGTTAGTGTCAATGTCAGTGTGTTTTAGGTAAAAAAAGACAAAAGCAAAATGTGCACTATTGTTTCTGGGCTGTACTACGGGTACAAACAACAAACACATATATGGTATCGCTGCGATCATCAGGAGCTGGAGAATTTTTTTGGGGTTGTTCTTTGGTGGTAGATTATGGTAGTAACAAGAAACACACAGCTAAATAAAAAAAATATATATTTTTTTTTTTTACTATTTTGGGCCAGTTTTCCTTTGATAATATAAAAAAAATATATGGAGATATCCATTATCATTTACCACCAAATGAAAGCCCAATTTGTCCTAAAAAAAACACGGTATAATTCACCTGGATGTACAAAGTAGTTGTGATGATATGTACGGTTTTATTAACACATGTCAACGTTGCAAAATTGTGCTTAGGCATGAAGGGGTTAAGGATGAACAGATTCTCAGATAAGGAAATGCGTCAAAAGGAGGAAAAACTATGATGTTTACAAATTACTACAAATATAAATATATACAGTTAGGTTCATATATATTTGGGCACAGGCACAATTTTAGTTTTTTTTAGTTATTTACCAAAACATATTCAAGCAAATTGGAGGAAGGGTCTAGGAATTACAGCTCTTAAGAGTAGCCATCCCCCCCTTTTTTCAAGGGACAAAAAGTAATAAAATTAAAAGCTTATGCCACACATCACCCGCTCTCGAAGACCAAAAGCCTTTTCTGACACTTTTTGGTCGCATGAAAGAACTGCTTTTTTGCTAGAAAATTACTTGAACCCCAAACATTATATATATTTTTTAAAGCAGAGGCCCTATAGAATAAAACGGTGGGTGTTGAAATTTTTTTTGTCACTCAGCATTTGCGCAGCGATTTTTCAAACCCAAATCTTTTGGGAAAAATACACTTTTTAGAATTTTAATGCACAAAAACACAATATATTACCCAATTTGATAAAATAAAAAAAGATGTTACACTGAGTAAATAGATACCAAACATAACATGCTTTACAATTGTGCATGCTGGTGCAATGGCAACAAAGTACATACATATTTATTATCGATAAGCGATGCTTTAAAAGCTTTTACAGGTCACCAATTTATATCTACACAGGAGGCCTAGTGCAAGAATTACTGCCCTGATCTGACATTCACGGCGATACCAAACATGCATGGTGCAACCATTGTTTAAATACCGTCACAGGGTCAACGCTTGCGTGGGGGGGGGGGCAAGAGTGCTTTTTTTTTTAGTTTGATTTTTATACTATC